TTATTTGACCGACGAATGATTGGAGGCAATGAATCTCCGGTCAGTTGGCATTTCGGAATAAATAACTCCGCAGCGAAGGCCTTCTTCCTTCCATTATTACTAGTAGCTTGTCATTTGAAAAGCCACGTCACGTGAATTTCGTAAACGTCCTCTGGCCTCCTGGATGACAACAACAACAGAATCAGTGATGTTGTACGATTTATCCCGTCCAAACAGCCATGTCTGTCTAGCTGGCAAACATCTAGATCAATAATTTTTCGATGACTTAAAAACTATCGAATAGCGGCTCACTGTCTTTTAAGATTGGCCAAAGGGTTGGAGAGTTTTGCCTGTACGTGTTGCGAGTTTACAACAACGTCAATCAAATAAGCATTTCTCATATATCAAGAAGTTCCTGATGTTTTCTCCACCTGTAAAGTTTTATACTGAGTGGTCCAGGAACTGCAAAAATCGGCCCTCTAGAAGAGAGACTGGCTCTGGGAGCATTCGCCCTCAGGAGTGAGTAGAATATGACAAGGCTCATTTAGGTGAAGACAGGGTATTGCTTTGAGATGGGATGTGAAGGTAGTGTAATATAATCAAATAGGCCTCGACACGATGTTCCCTACTGCATCGAAAAAATCTATTTAAATTAATTCTGTCAAGCATATAACTAGTAAAGAGAGTTTGGTTCCGTACGCTGAAGAAAAGGCTTATATTGAGTGAGGTTTTAATTTTAATCAGATAAACATACCCGAGTTCCCTGAGTTCATCAGAAACTGCCACCAGAGAAAGGAGAAGGGTACCATCGAATGACGCTACAGTGAGAAAAACAGACGATATTCAGTAGATGTACTACGGTATTTTTATTTAAACGACACCAAAACAGATTCAAGCATTGACGGACAGACGGAAGACAGATGTGCAGTGCGTCAAAAATCATTGCATATCTGTCTTCTCTTGAATGGTGTTCGAACGCCGGATTGAATTGCTTCATATAGTTTTGTCATTCACAACAGAATTAAAGATATGGAGCAAATGTGATTGAGCGTACAGTGTGAAAGTTAATGAAACCGTTGGGTCAGATTCGTTCAGGGGCAGATGTAACGTGCACAAAGTCCTGTTATAAAGGGAAAACCTGAAAAGTTTGGTACTGACGTATTAGAACGGAAAAAGAGCCACTACCTGCTGAGTGGTTAGTTTCAAGGACATGTCACGTAATCAAGTATGGTGGAATTAAATCATTCATTCATCTGGTGGTTTATTGTATCAACCAAAAGTGAGGCGCTTCCGGAACGTGACACTAAAGGTTCTATCCAGACATCCCAAATAACTTAACTGCAGGTACAGATGAATTGATTGATACAGTGATGTTCGTAGAATATATAAAACTCGTTTGCGCCAGAAGTGAGAATATCCTACGTCGAACGGTACTATAAGTTCACCTTATGGCCGTTCCTCCATTGGTCTCAGCAGGATATCACTTCAAAGCAGATTCCTTATATTCGGTCCATCCTGGTAGGCTTCCTTTGGGGATTATCTTCAGCAGTGATACTTGAGGAACGTCTAGGGGTAAGACTTCAGACGTAAATTGCTTTACAGTGAGATTATCTCATGTGGAGTACAAGTCAAAATGTAACGATGAAAAAACACCATAACGAGGAACCTAATTATGTTTAATTGGAAACTGGGGGGTATTTTCTGTGGACATATGCTTCGGAAGGTATCACAATACCTCAGGTTCGTCTGCCTTATTTGTGGCCCAAAACTCGCCCGCCGCGAGCACTTTCGATTGGCGTTTTTAGCAAGGTTCTGCGAATAGTAGCTTCACCGTGTGAATAGCGTTGCGAAAATATCGCGGTCTGTCGCACTGGGATCAACGACATTCATGACAAGCATGCCCACTAAGACAGGCAACGTGCACACAAAAGCAGCGAAAGCAACAAAAAGTGGCACCTATCCCATGATTTCATCCTATCACATATGATGTAATCAGTTCCGATGCATTGGAATCTCCAAAAACTCGCAACGAGCGTCACTAGGTAAGTCTACCGAGGTGAAATAAGGTTAGTGACTCAGCCTGACGATTGTGTTCTAAATTTAAAGCCACTGATCGCAACATTGCAGACAGGGTGCTGTTCCCCCCCCCCTAGCTGCCATCTTCACCAGAAACTCTAATGCGCAACAAGACGATTTTGCAGACTAATAGTTTGCGGAAATGCTTCGACCTCGACAATTTGGGGTGTAACCAATCCCAATCCCGGAAGCGCCGTAAAGTGAGACGTGGATGGTTTGGAACTATACTACTGGGTTCGAAACGAGTAGCTGGACTTTAGCGAAAGAACGCATTTGGGGAATCAGCACTCGATGACTGTTGTCAAACGGATGGCACTCAATGCATGCATAAGGAAAACTGAGAACATGTGTGGTATGGATGGTTTAGTCCTTCAAAAAGCCTTGTACCATTGGTAGCATACGATACATCTTAGGTCGGTGAACACGTTTTCCACCAGGTTCTCAAGCTACACGGCTGCAAAGAATCAGGCAGTAGTGTTTGTAGTATTGGGAAGAACGGGGAAAAGACAGAACTGGTTATGTCATGAAGACTCCAGTTCAAGTAACCAATAGGACGACATGAGGTCATCAGTGTGCTGTGGTTGTTTAATGTACCAACAAATATGTCCTCATAACTCAGATACCTTCCGATTCGTTGATTCAACAGGAGGCCTGTGGCTGAAACAATCATTCCCATGTTTACTCGACGTGAATTAGCCGCTTCCCAATGTCTCTTCGACTGGAAGGTTATTTATCCGTGTAACTCCACTAGGAAACGGGATTTCAGATGCCAATCGACCAATGAACCGAGAAAGTTATTGTGATGTGAACTGAATGTGCTGAAGAAATCGAAACACACTTGTTTCAACGAGAGTTCAATAAGACTCAGATTCCCACGAAATTCATTCTGGAAGGAGATACCGAGAATTCCTACTACTTTCCAGACGTTTCTTGTGAATGGTGTCACGTTCTGTGTACTGAAAGCCGACGTGGTCGGGACAGTACACAAGCTTTAACAGCTTCGGTTCACCAAAACGGTGACGCTATCTGATACTCCTACTAACAGAGCAAGATTAATGTGTTCTGAAGAAACACTAGAACAAGAGCTCTTAATTCTCGCCAAAATTTTGAGAAACAATAGGTTTTGCAACATCAACGCAAAAGTCCCCATTGCTACTTACACCGCCTACACTGACTTTTCGTCTGAGTGATATGTCAACCGACCTGCTGAACAAAGGCTTAAACAAAGATTTCTTCGCCACAACGCTTCGAACTTGGTTGACAAGGAAACGCCTGTTCCCTAAGTCCCAGACAGTGTCCTTCTCTTGCTGCTGCTCAGAGGAATGTGTGGGACATATGACAGGAAAACCCAGCCAAAGAGGGAGGGAACATAACCCAATTTGGTAACCTTCTGGAAATAGAGCAATAACCAGCTCAATTTTGCAACATCCATCAGACAAGATGCTCAAGCAGAAAAGATTTCCACACTAATTACAAATCCCCTGACAAGAAACCTAGATCAGTACAGCACCGTACAATTACAGTGGCTAAGACCATCACGGTGAGACACTAGGGCCTGACTCTATGTCGGCGAAAATGTTTTATTCGCATTCTGGCCTTGAACATTTTACTCCAAGCACGCGTCTAGTGCTGAACATAGCCTCAACATACTGACAACCCTACGTTATCCCTCTGGCGATTTGAGCACGTTTTTTTACAGATAACCCATGTCCTCTTTTCCGCTTTTTGGTATCCATTTTGCCCACAACATTATGTTGATTAATGCATAGCCTTTGAGATTGTAGGACTTGGGAAGATCCAGCTGAAAACATGTTCTCCGACCCATCCTTGTTTCGACTGTTAATGGATGTTTTAGGAACATCCTGGCTTACTGGATCTAAGCGCATCACATTTTTTTGTTCACCAGTCTACTACTAGCCTAAAGGTCACGGTTTCATGAAATTACGGATTTCTGTTCCGAGAGCAAGAGATCTTCCCATGCAACGGTGTTCACACCTCGGTAATAAACTACGAAAACTGACCAGCGCATGTGATACGTTCACACACTGATACGTACCAGCTGAGTTTTGTTGGAAAAATACGCTTAAAATGAGATGTGAACATCCAGTTCTTGCTCTAGTATGAACTAAACTGTCAGAACCGCACCAGTACGAATCGCAAAGATGTCATCTACGTAGTGGTGGCAGTACCGATGATAAACTGGAAGTAAATATATCAAGAATTTGAGCAACGATACTGACAAACAGACAGCGGTTTCATGAGATCACTGTCAGCACCACTTTTGCAGATGGTTTCATTGCTTTATTGAAGCCAGGTAAAAGTCACAGCATAGCAGCCTGTCTGAGACTACAGACGAAAAAAGCGGCATCCATGCACTGCTGGTTGAATTCACCTGAGTACGTAGGGCAATCTTGCGGTAGGATGAGAAGTGGATGGTTGCACCTATAAGTCATACTCCAACAATTCTCAAATGATACATTTCAACGCACTGTACAGATGGACTCGTCGGTGGTTCCGTACCGGTGTATGCGAAATGCAACCTTGTCTGTCCCATCGCTTACACAGTCTTGAAAAAATCAATCTCCGGATACTATGGAGAAAGATTTCGAACGTCTAAATAGAAGACTCAATATTCACTGAAATGCATACGTTAAAAGCAAGGTACGGTGAGCAAGTCAGTACTGTTGATGAAATGGAATTATTGTATGCTTGTCGTACCGCGTACACCCAGTTACACAGTAATGTAGCGATGAATTGTAGACCACACAGTTTGTTTCGAAAATTAAAAGAAAGAAGATCACCGTGTGGCTGCACCAGTGGCCAACGCGTTGAAAAAAAGTATAAAAAAAACCAGTGGCATTCAGATACCATAACTAACCTCCGTAAAACAGTCAGGAAAGCCCGCTAAAAGAAGATACTGATTCTTTCACCCAGTGATTTATAACTAAATTGTGGTGAGGGCGCGAAAGAGATACAAAAGGTTTTCCTGGAGGACTGTCAAAACCACCACATGATTGCTATCCAGAAGATTAATCTCGAAAACCAAAATGATACACACACACGAGACAGAATCTTACTTTCACTGCTACCGAATTACTGACGCCATAGAGAGCGGCAGTGGCCTTTACAACCTCGCTAATCAGACAAGCATCAGAGTATTGCAGTTCCGAGGCCCAGTTTGGAAAACAGCTGCTGTTCATTAGCACAAAGCGCCTCCATTTTGTCAGGTCCTCAGGAAAATCCTCGCAAGGATTAGTGCCCAGGCACCTGGGAAGAAAAGGTCCCCTATAGTGATCGATCCAAAGCGCTTCAAACTCCTCCAGTCGATGGCACAGCGGTAGAGCAGCTAGGAGATCCGGATAGCGCATAAACAAAGAGTCCTCTTGCAACCCACCGGAACGGAGGACGTTACCGCCAACATACGCATTAACGAAATGAACCTGTACGAATGAAACATATGCAAGGATGCGTCAGTCAGTAGGCTAGGAATACACAAGGGAAGCAATTCGTAAATGTAAATGACAATATAGGAATGCTGATACTGATAATCCGAATTGCGAGGAAACACCTGGTGATATCAGATTATCTACTTCTAGATCACTCTGTTTGTTAGCAGTGACAGGATCGTGAGATTTCACACTCGGTCATTAATTTGGTCTCGCTAACAAACCATAACAAGAACGCTTTGGACAACGATTTGCAAGGAACTGGAAATTACTGGCATCCATCTCAGTATCTGGAAAGTTTGATATATGGCCAAAAGTCAGTCTTTGAAACGAAATCAGTACTTTTCAAATGGACTGGGTAGGTGGCTGGTCAGCTAGTCCAAGATTGTTTGCCCTCAGACCGCCCTTGAGGTTTCTACCGTAAAGTTTGAGAGTTGAAGAACTTGCTAATCATCACTATCATTATCAGCTGTAAGAACCACGTGATTGTCGTACAGTGGTTATAGCCGCCATAGTTTCGTTCACCGAAGATTTGGGCAGGTGGAGTAGGTAGTCGCGCACTGGAGGGGGGAGCTTATATAATTAGAGCGTAAATACATGGTTGTTAGTAGACATTTCGTTGAAGCTACTTATTGAAGGTAACAGTTTGGATGCAATAGCGCCATTGAGGGCGCGAATTGGCCAGGTATGGTAATATCTCTAAGGATTGATGTGTCCCGTTTCGGGGTCTCCATCCAGGGAGACGGCAATGACTAGCACAGATGAGTTTGCTGGTAATGACTTTCATACTTTGCTGCGAAGTCATTGTTTGACCTTCCATGCTTCGCGCGGTTGTCCCAGAAGAACCCTTCGAGGAAGTCGGTCGACTGGTAGATGCAGCACGTGGCGAAACCTATTCAGTTTGATCAGTTCATCTATCGTTGGCAAGTTATTTCCTCCGAAGATCATTCAACGTACTTCAGCAGTGCTGATCCGGTTTTCCTGCGACACCCGGGAGTGCTCCGAAGACATCGATGGTCAAACACTGAAAGTATTTTGACGCCATTGGCGCGTAGCGGCCAGGTATCTGACCCATGTAGTAATATGAAGTGCTCCACAGCATTGAAAACTCGACCCCTGACGGATAAGCTGGTGTCTCGCCTGCGCCACAAATGATGAAGGTTCACGAAGGCTACTGTGGCCCTCGAGATGGAGTCTCCCTTCAGAAGGAATGCACATCAGACATTTAAAAGATCGCTATGAAATCTCTTGGTGTACGGTGGCCGTACACAATGAGGGATGCACAAGGGTGGAGATACTTCCGGGTTGCCCAAGCACAGACAGAAACCACCGAAAAGCCAGAGTTTGGTTCCAACCATGGATCTTCCAGTCAGTAGTTTCATATCCTAAGCATTGAGCCAGAGCACACTATTCCTAACACGATAAATGGTACCTGATGGGTTAATTCGTTGAGAACTACTCATGGAAGCTACTCTTAGGAGGGCCTTCTTGTGAATCAACATTGAGCACCGTGTACCAAAATATTTGATAATGCGACTTTTATGGTTTTGCGATTCACACAGCCCAAACAAAATCAAAGAAGCGACGGCAATATGCGTAAGGAGCAAGATAAGTGACAAGCTGAAATGCTCGAGAACCATTGACTGTATACCTTGTCAATCAGCGTTGCGTGCAACAGACTATAGAGGCTGCAGCCATGCGCCACACAATTGACACAGTGGCTCATGGTGCTACAATTTCTTCCAACGAAACGGGCTAAACATTAAATGTGACAGTTCCACTATGGGTTGAAAGGTTGAAGGGAAGTTAAAATATATCCAAGACAATAGTTCACACCATAAAAATTAGTTCATGTACAACGCTTAACTTCATAGAGACGTCGACTTCCCACACGACTAAGTTCACCGGTTGACCTGTGTCATGAATATTTTTGTGCGTTTACATTGACCTTTTTTATTAACCATGCTTTCGCCTTCACAAACAGCTCATGTAAGTCTATTCTTAGACAAGTAAAGAGCTATTCATTCTAAACTGTTCACTCTTGTTCTCGCGCTCAATCAGGATCGATATCGATTCATAACAACTTGCAAACTTTGTTAATTCATAACGTGACTCCGCTTATCATGCTGCTGGATTTCATTTGGTTGGGCAAAACGGGATCTCCCGGGTGGTAGGTTTGTTTGGCGCTCGAAAGAATGGTGTACCAACAACTCATCTATCATACCCGTCTTCAATATCGGAAAAGTTGTGTTCTTGGTCAACTCACTGATGACGTGTGACAAAGAAATGCCGGTATCTTCATACAAAGAATAGCCTCGATTAAGTAGGACGTGAGAAACACATTTCGAAAGAGCCATCGTCACCCAAGAATATGATAGTGTGGATGGATCTAATATCACCTTTAAATTCGTAGGCTAACAAACAAGTGGGAAAACCAAAGGCAAGCTCTTGCTTGAAAAGATGAATACATCTTACCAGAGAGAGATGTAGTTTGTCCGCCACCTCCTCAGTTGTGCAGTGCTGATCTACGAACATACACGGTAATGGTACGTTGCGAAGTGCATGTGTCAATTTTTCGCCCAATGCTCCAGACAAATAGCTACTCTCCTTAGTGCCAGGCTCATCTAAACATACTGCGGGCGGAATCTCAATATTCAATGTCCGGCGAGCGATTCGAATAGATCTGTCATGCTCCGGGCTTGATCGACAATGTTCGAAGAACGAGATGAGAGACATTAACTTCTGTTTCTGATGAAATTCTCTGAGCCAAAATTTTATGCATAAAAGAGAACTCACTGGTCCGACAAAGACCCAAAGAAATAGGTAAAATTAATCTCGTTAAATAGGAAGTTCAATTGTGGATGGGTCGGAAGCAAGCATAAGAAAGAACAAGCAATAAGCGACGTCACCACAGGATACGGAATTGACTCGTCGTAATCTGTGAGTCACGGAATCACGGGACTTCAAACCTACCTTGTTGTCCAACGCTGTATAGGAGTGGTTTTTTCGTAAAGCTTTCTAAATTTATTGCACAATGGACTATAAACGGTAACATGGTGTTCTCGAAATAATTTCGCTCAACCGGAGTCAGACAGAAATGGAGAAAATTGCCCAAACCGATGAACGTCATGCGGGCAGGTAAAACGTCAAACAGGCGACTCGTCGAACGCCCCAAGCACACCAAATTCTCGATAAAATCTAATTGGGAAACAAGTCCTATTGGAGTTGTCCGTCGCTGGGCCAGTGATAAAAGAGCACGCTTTATCTCGGGCCATCGTGGTTGTTTATACGGCAATAAAACTTCCTCTGGTGAGACCAACGAGTCACCGTTTGGCAAAGCAATTACGGACTGCATGTCCAACTGAAACAGATATTTAAAATTATTTACGTAGGGTTGGATGACGCATGACGAGAACTGAAAAACTAAAGTAGCACAATATAGAGATAGCTTCTTAGGGTCGTATTTCTATGATTTTGGTGGATGTTTGAAGGTCCGCGATAAACGTTACTCCAACTCAACTTGGACCAGTGGGTATCGACTAACCATGTGCCCTGAACGAACATTAGATCCGCCATTTTGCAACGAAACTAGCCGTCGAATGTCGAACATTGATGCGTTTCAGATGACAGTTTTGGAGGTGTGTTGTTACCCGAAATTTTAAAAAACCATGGAAAATCTTATCAAGTGAATTCCATTGTCGTTTAAACTTACAGCCTCTCACCGAAGGTCAGTGTAAGGGAACGAGGACGTGATACAGTTTATGAAGATAGGGTGGAGCCGCCTATCTCCATGGCGTGCAGGGAAAGACGTCCACGTACGTCCAATTGAAGGGGACTTGGCTACGAATAAACCATATGTGGTAGATAAGCGGCTGTAAAAGTGTGAAGGGCGCGATGGATCCTGGTCTGGTTGAGTGGTTCCTCATAAGTGCTAAATATGCTCAGTGACGGTGTCGCGTCAAAAGCCAGCGTTACTGGGTCACTGAAAAAGGGTGAGAAATTGAAGAACGGCGTAAAAACAGCTCCGTAGGAATGGATTCGTCAGAAGGCCAGCTGCTGTCGTTCCAAAAATAAATCTTCTCATTAAGTTATCACCATAACATCTTCAAAAGACAATACGAAGAGCGTACACGGTAATATATAGCTGGCAGCCCGGTGAAACTTCGTGCCGTGTTGCATGATACCTCTGGATATGTGATGACGAGGCGAACTGAAGAACTTGAATGGTTTCCAGCTACTCAAAGGGCGCATGAACTAGAGTCGTGACTGCCTACTCTCATTGGACAGCCGACTAGCTTAGTCGCGTTGCGGGTCGAATACTTCAGTTGAGGGCTCCGGGTGTCCATGCAGTCTCAAAAGAACCCTTATTTCACTCCGGGCAGTCGAATAGGATTCCAGATCAAAAACGTTTCTATTATCATATTCAGTTTGCGCTTAACCTCACTCCAACAGTACAGACAACCCCCTAAATATTGGTATTATTTCGAGAACCCACATTAGTTGTGGTTTGTTATCACGACTGATTATTTTTTTCTTATACAACAAATTACTCACGTAACAAAAACCGCCCATTCTACTTTGGATCCACTTTTCCCCACTGTTTTTCGCCGCCTACATACTCTATTCAATCCTAACACTTACACATATTGATTAACAAGAGGCCCCAGTGCAGAACACAAATAATTACGGGTCCTTGTTAAAATGAAACTCGCGCCCATGATGCTGCCTTCAATCCCGTCTAAGGAGAGGTTTCGCAAGCTTCGTGAAAGTCTGGAATGTATTGAATGATTGGCCTGAGACACTAGCTTAGATTAGATTCCTGCCGACAGTCGAAAGGATTTGGCGATGGAAAATCAGGGAAATATACGGTGGCATTTTGTGTTATTAAAGAACAAAGTCATGGTGCAGCATGAACGGTCTTTGAAGATGCATCTGAGAATTCAGGGAGTGAGTGGAATTTGTGGAACGCCATAAGTAACTCGTAAGTTGCATTAACCCGATGGTAGAGTGACACAAAGCAAACGCACGAGTCTGGAAGGCCAGAGCTGCTTCTACAAATACACTTGCGACGCAAAAATGGCATATCAAAGGGTCTCAAAGAAGGCGTGTATCAGGATACAGCGCCCGCCGTTTCGTTGTGCGGCTGCGAGATTTGACCGGCTTGGCGAAGGATCTCGGATGTCTTCAGGTGGAATCTGACGTGGAGGAAAGAAATGAAGGATGCCACGAAAAGTTTAGGTGTCACCGAGCTTGGATAGGTACGCTGAACAATATGGTGGCTAGCTGACGTCAGTGGCGTCCATGCTGTCAATTTCTATGCGGATCGCCTAACTGAGTGCTGGATATGTAGGCACCTCGGGTGCTTATGGTGGGCTAGCCCAAGGTCCATTCCATTCCACATCTCTTTCTTCTTTCCATTATTAGGCTTTATTGGAATAAATTGACACGGCTGTACGACACTGGGGCAACAGTTTTCTGATTGAGTGTTACTGTCAGTGATGACGATTATGAGAATAAGTGTGGCCTTTCTTGAATCGGGACCCCTGGAGGCGACAAACGCCCCCTCATTCCTTCACATATTCCACCTGCCATAACCCACCTCAATATGAATGCCCTCTCTGCAGGTTTCAGAACCAGGAATGACCGAGTTGTTTGACATGCACCAAAATCGGCTGCAGCTTCCGCGCGTCCGCCTTCAATAACAACCCAAAAAACCTCAAGGTCTAGTTTCAACCCCCGGAAACAGGTTTATTCGTCTACCTTCAGTGTTCATACACTGAAGCAAGCAGAACGACTTACGTCTCCTTTCCGTACGCTGGATCCTCCTAGTTAGGAACAAGACTCCAGAACGTAGGTATGTAATAAAAGTGATTGGTCCCTGGTCCTCAACTCTGGTGATCAGGGGGGGGGCATCTACAGCTGCATATGCCGGGATGAGCATCGTGTTGACCCATTGAGTGGGTGCCTGTTGAAAGTTACCTCCATGCAGTTCGTTTGTCAACATCTGCGAAGGAATTTCAAGGAAGTGAGGTCCAACGCTCTCGCGAGGAGACAAACTTATCATGGTGCGACCGTTTGAATATCTTAGTATCCCACTGAGCCGCACTACGGGGTGCTCGTGCAACATCCTATCAAGCTTATCAATGAACAAAAGTTTGAAAGAAACAGCCGCCTTGGCCTCCAGATTGAGGATTGGAACAAATGTGCTAATACACTCTCGAATATTATAGCCACTCGAGTAGTCTCAAATCAAGCACCGATGACCTACAGTCAGGCCTTTGGGCGAAACGTTTTGGGTAAGTACCCCATTTGTTCGCCTGTCTAGGACTGGCCATCTCGAGCTCGAGATGGCTCGGTGGTGAAGGCATGAACGTATCAACCGGAAGGTCCGTGGTTCGAAGCCGACTCCTGCATCTCGACTGCTCTTGTTTGGGTCTGAGTAACCCGGTAGTATCTCTGTCCTTGCGCTTCCTTCGAGGGACATGGCGGCTATACAACACTGTATCTAAAAGGCCTTCTGCAAAGATACTACTGGAAATGAGACATAATAAAGATGAACGGCGGATAACCGTGTGGGATATTCTCAACAATAAATTACCTGGGCCTCTGTCCCCTTGCCTACACCTTTCACTTGACCCGCTCATTCGGAGTCGCGATGTGTGAGTACAGAGTCCCCTTCAGTTGACGAAGCACCACTATGACTTCCTGCCTCGAAGCATCATCGGACTGCTGGACCAGATGAGCCTTCTATAATAATCTTAAAAGATTAATGGGAATGTTTGTGTTCCACTTTGGCTGCATCGTTCGTATGTATTTCCGAAGAAGGACATGCTTTAAGCAATTGCGACCAGTAACCGGTCGTACACACGTTCGAAAAAAGCACCCGAACCGACTGCTTCAATCACAGGGGTATAGGTCTCACGACTGTCGTGGCGTGGATACTTCCTTTCCTTATAAGGCTCGAGGTAGCTCAGTGGTTAGGGCGCCAGCTTAAGAACCAATAGGTCCGAGGTTGAAAACCAACCTCAGCATCTCGATCGCTCCTGTCTAGGTTTAGGCAACCTGGCGATATCCCAGCCCTCGTGCCTCTTTCCGTTGGCATGACAGCTAGCTAGGGTGCTACAGCTGAACGATCTGATTTGATAAAACGACGAAGGTCTGACAAAATTAAGCAGGATTTCGACATGGCATAGGACGCACTGGACATGTCCTCACATTACGTCAAGTGCTTAGACGGCGCCACCTATACCACCGAAAGACAGTTGCAGGCTTCCTCGACTTTGAGGATGCCTTTGACCCTATGGACAAATTAGTTGGCCTAAATGTTCTTGGACAAAGAGGGATGCCCTTGAATTTCCAAAACATTCTTCTTGTCCCTCTTTCCACAACTCCGGTCAGGAGCGCAATGAACCGTCCACTAGCTTTCTGACAAATATTCGAGTTCTTCAAATTCGTCTCCTATCTCCTTTTTCTTGGATTTTGCCATCGACGTCACCATGGAGTGCACACCCCAGGGACTGTGAATTTAGGTGTTGAAATCAAGTATGGAGAGACATTAGTCAATTTGAGCTATATGGACGATCTAGTTTTGGCGTTTAATAATTATTGCGCGAAGTCATTTAACCAGAATATCGGAGATCTCAGGTATGGCATGCATTTCATACCTTCAAAGTGCAAAACCTTACTTCAATATTTCCCATTCCCCTTGTGACGTTCTGAGGCTCCAAAATAAGGAGCTCAATTTCTTTTATCGGTTCACGTATCTTGTCAGCTGTATAAACCGTTATTGTACTGTAACAGATGAAGCTAGTGCGCGCATAATCAACGCGCGAGCAGCATTCGCCAAATTGTGTCCTTCATGGCATCAGAAGTAAATTTCGCTGAAGCTAAAATGCCACGTCTACAAGACAAAATTAGGAAAGGTTTAGCTATATGGTTGTGCAACTTGCTCCCTCCGACCTGACCTCAGGTGTATCCGGTGTATCTGTAGCGTAGTAAAAGTAAGCTGCCTGGACTGGGTCCTCAACGAGTGATGCGTAAGCGGGCACCTCGTAGTGAACCCCATTCGTTGGAACTTAAGAGGTTGAGATGGCTTTGACATGTGCCACGTATACGGTCCTCTCAGGGCCATTGTTCGCGAAAGATCCGTGAATAGAATGCCATATGGAAATTGAGCTGAAGGCAGCTATTGTCAAATTGAGTATGGAGGAAATGTTTTGCACCTTCCTGGCTGGAGCCCACGTGATTCTGCGTCCAGTTGTTTGAAAACCCTGCAGGATATAGCCCGCAACCAATCCCAGTGGCGCGCACGCTGTCACTTCTTAGCCAGACTGGCTAACTAAGGTTCACCTGTCGTTGTGCGCCGGGCATAGCATGTGTGAGGTTCGCAAAGGACGCTTGGTTGATCCCGCTGATGGCGCCGTACTTTAACATGACGGTCAGGTGTTTGTTCTTGCCGTCTAGACACTTTATTCTTGATAATTTTCTTTAAGGACATGGGACTCTTTTGCACTAAGTCACTACCCTTTTCTCTTTATTCCACTAAGGCCTTCTTCCCTGATGGTTGCATGACAGCTAAGCGTCCGTATACATTGCTGCCAATAATGATGAATTCCATTACATCCCGTTTATTATATATTTACGCTCCGACGGACTGTAGCTCTGAATCCACTAAGGTCAGTTTCCATGACTCTTAGGTGCGCTTTTACAATGGGTTAATAATCCAGACACCGCGGCGGTTGCCAGGATACTGCCAGGTTGCTCAATCCTAGACAGGGCAAGTGGAGGGGCAGAGGTCGGGTTCGAACCACAGACCTTTCGGTCAGTAAATTCGCACTCTGACTAATTTGGGCATCTCACCCAGCGACAAGAAAGCTCAGACAAGCAGGCTAAGCGCTGCTGAGGCCCAGCTTGGTGGTGATCTTGGGTTGGATACGATACACATGAACAACGAGAAGCGCCTGTTGCAGGTGTGCGCTGACTACGTACTGTTCCCTTGCTGTAACGGTTTGCGGAATGGGGAAAATCGTTTGACAACTGATGTCCACCAACGAACAGGTACGGAACCCAAGTAGACCACAATGCCATCAGTTACCAGTGGTGAGGATCGGTCACTGCTTACCACTCCTTCTGAAACAACTGAAAAGCCCACGCGAAACGCGCATACGGTGCTAAGCCAATAAGAAGCTGGACTCGGAAGTAAAAAACACCAGAACGGGCTCCTCCAAATCCTGCCTGCTAGTCTGATGTTGGAAGCTAACGATTACCGGAGACAGATGTCCAAAGCCCAACTTGATGCCGGAACCTGCACTTGCACTACACCTCAGCCAATCTCATTCAGGCACTAGATTTCCGATGGAATACTGGCTTTGCTGGAGGTCAGGCGACGGATTCCTCATGAGTGCAGACACGAATAAATTCAACGCATCATCCGACGCCAAATAATTCTGAGTGTTTGTGCAGACGGTCGGATCGTGGGGTAAAATAGTCGCAACAGACGATTTGGAAACCTGATGTCTCCAATTCGGACTGTCTGCCTTTGATGGAAACTTAGACTGTGAGTATCGAGTCACGTTAAGCCTCATAAGCGCCTACTGAAAGGTCATCGTGATTCTGGTCCCGGCGACTTTCCACCTTGCCTGTTCGAGGACAATGATGAATTCAACCAGCCTATTTGCGTCCATCTGGGAGAAACAGGCCTTCCCAGACAGATGGTCAGTTCAGTTTTTCAGCTCACGAACCGCACACCGAAGTGCAGTGGTCCCTACCAACACAGCTTCGTTAAGCGAGGATAAAGAGAATAAGGAACTTAATGCAACGCGTTGAAGACGACAGCCCAAGCTGTGCACTGGCAACGGCCGGAAATCAAAGCTACGTAGTGAAGGTAATAGCTCTGATGCTGCATAACAGCCACATCTGTCATGTTCATTTATCTCATCCTGCGGTCCCCATCCGAGGAGACGCTATTCATCAACACAACCGAGCTGACTGGTGATAGTCTTCATACTTCAGTGCCAAGTCATGGACTGACCTCCCAGCGGTCGTTTCAGTCCTATACAAGGCTGGACAGACAGTGCTTTACGGGGCAGGCCTTATGGCGTACGAGGTAGGCGGCCTAATTAGCGTGTCGTGTGGCATGTGGCAACTTGACCTATCGGGGAAGAGCGAACTTTCCCGAAAGCAATCTGGCGTACCTCAGCATCACTTATTTGGTGTCCGCAAAAGACATGCAATGTTTGGGATAAATCGATGGCCAAAAACAGAAATTCTCCGAAGAACCTGTGCGTGCAGCTGCCTCACCTCTGTCCGGGCTTTGGCAACCTGGCAGTATCCCATCCCTCGTGCTTCCCTCGGGTAGCATGGCAGCCAGGCACCGAAAGGGTGCTCCAAAACTGTACACTCTACCTTTGAACCCGAGCTGTCACTTCGGTACCACAAATGTCGCAATACAATAAACGTTACGCTGGCCTTCCTAACTCGGTAAAGAATCCGAACTTTCGCCAATCTGCAGCTACTCAAACAGACGGACGTGATCACAACATCGATTAATTCGCCTGCACGTGAATGATGGTCGAGATTGAACCCACCCACTCTACATTTGATAAGTGCGTAGGGCGTGGAGAACTGTGCAATAAGTTGCTCGTGTTTTTACAATATATT